GCAGACAGACTATTTAACGAAAATCTTTCCAGAATTATAAAATTCTTTTTTTATGCCCACTGTCTGACTAAAGACAGCTTTAGGCAGTTAGAGTTAACAGAGCCAGCAAGTTGAAAACGCTTTCAGTAGATCACCACATAATAATGGATGGCTACAGAATCTTTGTTCCTACAGTGGCCACCTACTAGCTGATATGGTAAAGACTACTTAAGGTCATAAAAAATTAAGAAGCCAAACACTCGCAGCATGCTGGAAAACGTGTTTTCATTTGTTAGATGCAAAGTAATTATTCGAGGGATTATAGGTACAGCTCTCAGAAGTTCAAAACGTAAAACTTTTCACTCATTCTCCAAGTACTGTGATCCATAAATCGTTAATGTTTTCTGGTTTGGTCTGTACCTTTAACCAGTTTGCAAAATGCAATGGTAAACACCCTTCCTAAACAGGAAGTTCTAAATCTTGTGATTCAGATCATTCTGCAACTCCAGAGATTTCCTAAGTTCCTCTTCCTTCAAGCAGAATCATTTCCAGAGAGGTAAAAGAAATGGCATCTTTCAACAAATTAAAGAACATGCTAATATTGGCGCTTGACTGGATCCTCTACAGTGCTGGTAAGACTTCTGTTAACTTCTTATATTTTCCCATGTAACAGCAGTTAAAGAGGACTGAAAAATGTTGTGGTTATGATTTGCAACACAGCTAGGAAATAAGAGAAGTAAAAAGTTTTACTGAGAATATTTCTGCTATCTTCATACAACTTCCAAATTAAGTAACTGTTAGCAATTGCTTTTTCTTCCAAAAGTTTGAAATGTTCCTGTAATCTATGATTTCTGGGTCAAATCCTACTGCACTTCTCTGCAAAGAATGCTCCAGCAGCAGCAGCAGCATGGTTTCAGTGCAGCTATGCTGGTCTGGGAGGAGGGTTTGGGACGTTCTGCAGGCAGCATCTTCGCGAACTGAAGCCGTGGAGTTCTGCTCTGCGGGGCCACCCAGGGCCCTAGAGTAACAGCTAAACCAGAAGGGGATCAACTGCAAAAGCATAAGCTACTGCCTTTCCCCACACAAGGTGCAACTACACCGACGACTTATCTTCAGATTGCTGTAGCCGCTATGGAATGGCTCTAATGTTGATCTGACTCAGAAGCAGAGGTTCATTTTATTCCTGATAGAAGCCACAGACACACAATCTGCTTGGATTTGACCCATAAAACATTCAGTGAGAAAAATGATGGACAGCGTTGGTTGTTAACTGTGCACAGGATTATAAATTGTGTATCAGCAGTAGGTTAAGAGATTTTGGTTTCTTTTCTTCTAATTTGTTATTTTCTAGGAAGCAGAAAAGAATACTTAAGCTACTACCTTAATTTTCGCTGCAATAATTTCAATTCCATTGTTTAAATAACTAAGTAATTTACTTAGGTAACATTAAATATACTAAACCAGTATTTAAATTATGAATTTCAATAAGGACTTAATCTCCCAGACCAGTAATATTAAACCTTAGATTTCAGTTCCTTAATTAGAATTCTCTTCTCTGATTAACCTTCCTGTTTTCTCTGCACACATTTTTAAATGTCAGAACTAACAAGCCATATTATTATCCTTAGAAACCAAGAGGCAATATATGCGATGAAGTGAAAAAATGTCTAGGAACTATTATAAATTCTAATCAGTGTTATGAAATTGCTAAATTATAAATGTCTCCATTTACGACATTTCCACTGCCTGCCATCAGGCACATCTCCAGAGCCAAAGGAGACATTGACCTTACTTTAGATACATGAATCTTCTCTGTGCTTCTTCAGAAAAATAGAAAGCTAAGCACATCAGTAAAACTGTTAAATAAACACATGGGCAAGCTGTAGGAATCAGCTAAAAGAAAAGTTTGCTGGAAACAACCCTAAAAATCACAAGTTTGAAACACAGTTGGGTTTCCTCCTTTTTCGCATCTTTCCTCAAGTGAACTGCAAGTCGCTTATTTTCTTTTTAGATTGTGCCTTGCCTTTTAACTGTCCCTCATATTACCAACTGTTTGTTCTCCACAGGTACTGCAGATACTTGCCACATCTCTGTAACACAACCCAGATTTCAGGAAGCTGACCGCTCCATGCACACTGTGTTCCTAACATGTGCTTTCTCTGCCTCTGGATGCTCCTCATCCCCACCTCAAGTCCTATGGTTTCGCTTTTTAATTAATAAACATGAGGACTTGTGTACTCCTGAATGCACAGATCATCAGAAGTACAAAGTACATTTATCAGAAAATAACATTTCACTTCAGATCAATGATCTGACTTTCAATGACAACGCCATTTATATCTGTGGAATAGCATTTCCAGATTCAAGTTCACCCCATTCTAAACAAACAGGAGATGGAACAGTACTAACGACAACAGGTCAGTTGATTATTCCTTTTTAATGAACCGTCTTAAAATAAATAAATTATCTTTCTTAAATACTCTCTTTATTTACACTTTCAAGAATGGCATTTGAGATGGAAAAAACAACAAAACCATTAGGCGCAACATGATTATATTAAAATATCAATAGCAAAGCTGTGGAAGGATTCTACAAACAAGCATCTAAACCTCATTTGCTAATTAAGACTGTTCTGTCATACAATGCAAATGACTGTAGGATTCTACAAAAGAAGGTTTGTACTTGTGCTATCAGAAAGGAAGTATCAACAGAAAAACAAGAAATGGAGAAACTGACATTCAGTGGAAATATGTGCAACCAGAGTACAGGATCTCAGAACTGGGGATTCAGTGTGCCAACCTGAAAATAAAAGTTTCAGTTCTGAACCTTTGTATTATTGGCCTTCTAGTTAAGACAGTGATGATTTCAGTTTCACATGCCTAAAATAGTAAAAAACCATACAACTTAGCTCTATTACTACTTTCCCTGTATTCCTTGCTTCCTCTGTCTAATTGCATTTCTGAACAAAAGCCTGTAATCTTTATTCAGATATTCCTTTATGAGAGCAGAAAAACAGATTCAATTCTCTGTCTACCCTTAAAGGGTGGGTTCATATCAAAAACAACAAGTCATCACTGTCCTTGCAAACACTTAGGGAAACAAAAGATAAGTGATCTCACTAAGGATTTTAGGATGAAAATGAACCAGAAAATATTGATGGGTATAAAGTCTTTTAACTCCTCAGAGAAAGGAGGCTGAACTGCAGGATCTTAAGAAAATTACGTGAATCAGAAGAACCATCCTTTATTCTAATACTCACTTTTAATAAAGGAGCAGAGAATCAGCACATCAGTGGAAAACTCGTCTCCATGATCATCGCCTCATCCTTACTGTTTCTATACAGCACTACTGTATTCACATTCTTTGTAGTCTACAAGGTAGGTTCAAAGTGATTTTTCTGATTTTGTTCATTTTGTAAAACTAAGCAGTTTTAACATCTCCATAAAAGACATTCCTAGATTCCATAATATTTATGATTAAGTTTTAAAGAGGTTGAAATTCGTGTGCTGCGCACACCTGCAAACTCTTGTGTGGCACAGATCTGTACTCTCAGTAGCAGCCAAATTTTCTCTTTTCAGTAAAATATCTAAAAGAAAAAGGCATTCTAAAGTTAAAGTTATCCTGAGTGTATTGATCAGCAAGTTAAGAGATTATATATCAAGGCACAAGCAAAAAGAAAAAAAATGGAATTATCATTGTAAATAATCAACTCTCTGGACTAGTTTCCAGTAGATGTAAAATAATTTAAGTTTAATGTCGAAGTATGTGTGAGCTGCAGTAAAGCTACTGCAGACCAACTTGACTTGTGTGAAGAAATTATATTCATACATCGTACAAATACAGAAGAGAGACCTTGGTAGAATTTAAAAATATCAGAGACTTGGAAGAAGTTTCATCCCTACAGGAAACAAATACCTTAGAATGCACCTGATTAAAAATTATATAACTACTGGATTTTTTTAAAAATCTAACCCAAAATTTGTGTTTAGTTAAAAACAAGCACCCAAAGGTACAACTGGAATCTTTAAACAATAATGAGCTATGGACATGAGAATGAGGACTTCACAGTCCCAAGTGGTATGACATGGTAAAACGGTTCTTTTCTGCAGTGATCACTGTCTAAGCATAAAGACTGGAGAGTCTTCTTGATTTTTGTTTTTCTTGAAACTAGGTTAAGCTGTATAGGGGGAAAAAATAACCAGGCCTTTATCAGGGAAGAAAATGGTATCTGTGATGCCATTGCTTTAGTTTTGAGAATTAGGCAGTGCTTCAGGCAGGTCCCACTGTACTCAAAGCAAAAATACAAGCAACATCTACCACCAGAACTTGAAAAAGCTTTACATGCTTGAAAACTTCCAATTTTTCCAATGCTATAAGCTGATTTAATGAAAAAACCTTTCTACAAACTGTTGAACACTGTAAAAGGGCAACAGATTTGACTATTCTGCTGCCTTAGTAGTTGGCTTCCTATGTTCTAATTGGATTTTTTAATTATTCCTCCCTCCAGTTAAAACCAAACCTACTAAAGAAAAGTGGGAATGAAGACCAAAGAACAGAGAACTGTGTAAGTTATCGCTTCGTTTGCCTTTCTTTGCCCCGTCTTTAAGTATATCGGGCATCAATTTTGTGACTAATTGACGGGTCAGTTAAAGAGACATTCAGAGCCGTTAATGCTTCATTTCAGATTTGTACAAAAGTAATTACTGATTTCACATTTAATTTTAATTAATTATTTAATTAACATAATTTTATCGAATTAGATACAGGATAAAGTCAATCTTTGTAAAAGCCATCTCATACACAGCTTCCTTTGGGTTTTAAGCAAATTTTGTTCAAGCTTCTCAAAAACAACAGGCTTTGCTATTTTTTGTTTGTTTAAACAGTGCATTCAGGCTTACCTGAATGCATTTTAAACAAGCCTATTAAGAACCTCTATCACCACATATCCTTGAAGAAAAATCAGAAGCAATACAGTTAAATATCCATTAAAGCAGGTATAAACGTTAAGAGATGCAATATTAATGTACTTTAAAACCCTTCTGCCTGTCAAACCATATGTTCTCAAACTGTCATTTAGTACCATTCCCAAAGACATATACAGGGAAAAAAGTCAGAATTCTAAGAGGGAGAAAAAGGTGTTTCCCACAACTTCACAAGTAGCACTGACCTAAAACATTTTAAACATTTTGCAGAAAATCAGTAGCGGACGAAAAATTTTTCAAGCAATTGCCCAAGAACTTCAAAAGCAGAGGTACACTGAACATTGGCGACAGCCTGTAAGTATCTATCTGCCAAAAGTGAAATTTATGGGGAAAAAGAGGAACTGCCAGTTTTTAAGAGTATACCATTTTTATTACCTATAGAAATAGACTTTCCCTTCTTGAACTTGATAAAGATTTTTAAAAAAGTATTTTGCACAACAGTCAGAGATATTATAAACCATTCTAAATGGCCACACATGTAGAATTTTACATATATCTGATAGCAAATGCTCTATAGAATGTATGTATGTGTACTTAAAAATTAACCTTCCAAAACCTTGTATTTTGCCAAAAAAAAAAAGGTCTCAGCAAGTGGTTCTAGGTTGTTTGGTAAACTGTATAGAGCTATTAGGAGCTTATTTTTGAAAAATATTTCTGTTTTACTTCCTCTTGTTCCCTTAGCCCAGAATAGCTAAGTGATAGAATGTAGCACAACTGTTACAAAAGCTCTACAACTTTCTTACACATACTTCCTGCACCTTCAACTTACTGAGCCTAAACTAAGCATTTAACATCACTGGGTAAAGCCACACAACTTATTTCATCATTCCAAATTCGTGCCAGTAATTCTTATATGACCATATGAACAATAATTATGCATATGCCACATACATTAGAAAGAAAAAACCCAACACTTTAGAAGTCACATGTATTTGCAAGGAAAGAAAATGCCTTCAAAGTCCTGCTTTAAAAACATTGTGTCTTTTGAAAGACAGTATAAATTCTTTCCTACTCTGAAGGTGCACCACACTGCTTCAGAGACACAAGGAGAAACTAAAAGAAACACAGAACAAAGTCCAGCACTTCTCCCCTATTCATTTTTACTTCATTTAGTTCCATGTAGCTCCAATTGTTTTCCACCGTAATTGCCCCTCTGAAGACTTCAAATCCCTGCTGACATGACCTGGTCCTTGGTTTGAGTGTCAGATATTAACACAGTGGAAACAAGGGGTATGTCTTACTGCCTCTGTGCTCCCTGGAGATGAGGAAAAGTCACGGGGAAAAGAAATATGTTTTGAATCCTGTAGATGCCACATGGACAAAAACAACTAGGTAAGTGCAGAGAAAGGAGTTTAATGGAACAGCAAAGGGATGCTCTTTGCCTAAAAAAGGGAATTCTGCCTTTATTAAAAAAAAGTTCATATCAGTACTGAAATAATTCCATATTTTTCCCCTCCAGGACGATTTAGAAGACGACACTGTTTATCAGAACAGATGATCATGTGCAGCAACTCAAACTGGTTCCTTATTTCTCATGCAAGCAAAGGGGCAGATAAGAAGTTAAGCTTCTTCACAGACTTCCTTTGCTTTAAAAAGAGAGGAGTAAATATTGCAGAGCAGCGTTCTTCAAGAGTATTTTCTAAATGGATCATCAAAACCAACTGTGTTGTACATTACATCTACATTATACATTGCTTCCCTTTTTCATTTTGCAGGAATAAGAACTACGGGAAAAGACTTTATCTTTCGTAAGATTACTGCTAATGCTTAATAAAAGTTTCCTTTTTCAGTTTAGATAGAATTCTATGTCTTACTTTCTTTTTACACGTATTTACATGTATTCCTTTTACATGAGTTGAGCATTTGTGAAAGACATAATAATTGACAGCAACAGAAAATAAACTCATTTCATAGGTGAAATTCTGGTTTTAGTCAAGTTAACGTGAGAGTTTTTGATGTAACTGATATACAGATCAACAGCTACTGCTTAAGCAGAGCAAAATCTATATATTCTGTAGAGGCAAAAAAAGAAAAAACCAGACAATATAAATGCACGTACAATCATGGTAAATCCCATTTGGGATGGGAGCTTCTTCCTAGCCTGTTTAGGAAAGGAAAGTAGTGGTCACAGCGAGAAGGTTACTCCTGCAATATTAAAAGTCACTTGCTAGATAGATAACCCTCATCTTCCAGTCCTACCATCTAAAGTCAGATTTATCTGGAGCACCAAGTTTTGCTTTTACATGTCTGTTCCACGTGGATGTAAGCATGAACACAGAATTATACTACCTAGCCAAGGGAGTATACACTTTTTTTTGGTGTACCTTTTTCCTTTTTTTTTAGCAGTTAGCACCTAGCCAATCTACAAACTCAGCACTTTAACAAGAGATCTGCTATTAGGCTTTCTCTCTACTAAAGAACTGTATCTTTTACCATCATTTTAAAAAAGCAAGGCTTTGTTTAACAAATGAAAAACATGGCTCACTCCCGTGAGATGAGAACTGACAACTGAGACAAAGCAAGAGTCCATTCAGCACAGCACTGTGCTAGATGTTTCCAGCTCAATTTAGTACCAAGTACTTCAGGAAGACGGATAAGACACCTTTGTCTTCCTATCCCTGTCAATCAATCACAAGGACATTAGCGTGTTTGACAAGAAAATTTCACAATCTCAGGCTGCTAGTGTTCACTGCTTCTTAAATATAGTATCTCTCACATTGTTGGTCTGGAGAAACTTAAACCAGTCTAGCCATATATTATCTAATAATGCCTTTATATAAATACTATTCCTATATTAGGAAACAGAAATTATTTTTACATGACCCTATGGGATACCTATTAAAAACATAATGTTATAATAATATATATTCTTATATAACTAGTCTAATGCTTTACAAATCATCTGACTTACTTGCCAAATTTAGACATCTGCAGTAAGTGCATTATTTATTGTTCCGTATTGTTGAAAATAAAACTGAAAAGCCACATACAAAATTTACAGTTAAGCTACTTTGGACACTAGGTGTCACCGTAACTCCAGAAACAGCAAGCACAGAAATGTATTTTAACTCCTCCTCCACCTTGCTTTGTTCTCTTAAAGCAAGTTTTATGATATTCACATAGACAATTTCCACAACTACCCTCCCATTACATTATGTGTAATAACCTAAATAGCTCTTTTTGATTAAAATCATTTCTTCACTTCTATAAACTGATCAAACACCTTCCCTGCATCGCCTCTTCTCCATTTGTTGCCTCCTCTAAAAGTTTCTCTAGGCGGGTCCAAACTGGTTTTAATTAGCTGTTACAAGAAGTTATTTGAGCCATGAAATGTTCTCCTCTCTGAGCGTTCCAAGTTGTTGGGGTTTTCTTGTTAAATATAAAGCACATGTACATAGCTGACACTTAAAAAAATTGCATCATCTTGTATAAGAGCTGAATGAAAACAGTGAAATTCTAAAATCATTTGTACAGCATAAAGACAGTCTGGCAGTTCATCGTCTATTTCTTTAGACTATAGTTAAACACATCTTAAGTGTGAAAGCTTCAGTGGAACAATAGTAACTTTTGTGTGCCTTAATCTGCACTCTCTAAAGTTTAATGGGCCCGTATCTATGACAGTGGCAGACTAACAAACTGAATTTCAGAACATATCAAGGAAATAAAACTGCCTTAAGCAAGGTGACTAATCTGCTACAAGTCACCACCACAAGCAGAAGCCTGACTTGGGGTTGCAAGACACCTTACAACAGATTTCACCTTTCAACAGGTAGGAATGACTGAGTTCAACAATCACAAAACAGGTTTCCAGTCCCTTGGGATTTGTAAATTTAACACTCCTGTTTTGCTCTCAGTATGCTGTTGGAGGTTAAGGAAGAAGGATATAAGCAGGCTTAGAGTAGTTTCTTCCTTAATTTATCTGTCTCCTGCTGAGTCAGGACATTGCATGTGGTCTGTCACCCAACAACATGCAGGGAAGTAGGTGCTGGGTGCAATAGTGATTGCAAAACACAACCGCACATAGTTTTGAAGGCTCACAAACAAAAAAGCCACCCAAATAATTTCTTGATTTCTGCTTCTAATATTCCAATGAAAGACTATAAAGACTGCTGTTACTGACAAATTTAAAATGAGTTTTTAAAAGAGGAAGCCATATTGTTCCATATTATAGGAACAATAAGTTGTAATCAAAGATGTACAGAGGCAGAGGTCAACCTCTCCATTTCATTTAAGACACATTAAGAAAATATACACTAAAATACTGTATTTTAAGCAGTTCTGATTCTGATAGCATTATTTTTTTTAATAATTAAAACCTTTTTTTTCCCCCTGCCTCCCACCAAAATACCACTAATATATAAAAGCAGAAAACAGATTCAGTTTGATGCATTAGTGATTGCAAGAACGTTCAGGTTATGAGCTCTGTGTTTTCTGGGCATGCAGGCCTTTCCACAGCCAAGTCTTAATACCCAAGGAGAGTCAGTGTCCAAAGGATGACTGATGAACACTAGTCATCCTGAATTCAAACCACCTTTAGGGTGCCTCAACGTGAAGCCACAAACGTAGCCACATAACAAAAACAGTTTCAAGTCTCTTTTGAAGTTTAGTCATAAGGATACATTCATTTAAAAATCTCTCCTGTATTTCTTTAAAATGTAACTAGGGAAAATAAAGTAGTCTTGGCACTGAATTTTACTTTTTTTATTCTGGTTACTAATACAATATAAATAATAGGTCTATATGTTTTACTTTGAGAACTCATGTCAGAACATGAACTTTACGTCCCTATGAATTTTCAGGAGCGACTCATCTGGAACACTTGAACCAGTTTGACCTCAGCTGATCTGTTGAGCATTACAGACAGTTCTGATGGGTTTGCTCAACTGGTCGCTAGAGATAGCTAGGGTTACCTATACGACACTAGCAGAGGGCCCTAATCAGAGATCAGTTTTCCCATGCTGCTCCAACACAGCTCAAATGTGGCAACCTGCAGAACAGGGTACGTGACTTCAATATTTGAGCTTTTTATTGCTGTCAACAACGTATGTTCAGGAATTACGAAAACATCTTACATCATGTGGCCTATTTACCTACGTTTTCATACTTCTGAACACGTATCATAGAAGTTACTTGTAAAAATTGAAATACAATCATGCCAATTATTTATTAAACATTTAATTTGGGATACTATGACCCACAAACATTTTCTTTACCTGCTAAATAGCTATTAAACTGTACACTTACCATTTTCCACATAAGGATGAAATGGCAGAACTAATGCTAGAATGACTCTGCCTCTAGTTGGCTCCAGTACACTTCTAATATCTTTTAATACAGTCAGTGGTTGATCACAGCGATCCAGCAAATTCAAACAGCTGATAACATCATACTGAAAGCCTGTGTTTTGCCATTCATTTATACCAAGCACCCTATAA